TATTTATAGGAAGAGTCCCTGGAGGAGTAATCGAGGCTAAAAATCTGCATGGTGGAGCTGGATTGGAGCAAGTGGGCAGTCTAATCGCTATGATCTCCATCACCAAATTCTGACTTCAGTCACTTCCCACCTTCCCTCATGCATTAAATGCTTTCTTGTAGCCAGTGGGTTTGCTGCATTAAACAGGCACTACTTCATTAAATGAAGCCTGGGTCCCTGCTATCACGTGATAATCAGACTTTAATGTTTCTAGCCGCGATTTTGTTTGGCCTCGGCCTCGGCCTGCGCTGGAGGCCGAGATGATCATGCCTTAGCATTTCTTCTTTTGTCTTTAGGAGGGCGAAGTACCCTGGCGAAACGCTGCGTTTCAGCCTTTACGAACAAGTGCCGGGGCCGAAAGAAAGGGCTCCTTCGGCCAACTTATGGCCGTGATTTATCAGGCACAAACACAAATATGAGCCAAAATACCAAAATTGATACTGCAACATATTCTGGCTGTTCATCGGATTTTTCGTCGCTAAAACCCTTTTGCGAGGGTTGTTCATCGGATTTTTCGTCGAGAAAAGGTTCCTGACACTCTTTAGCGACGGTTTTCTGCAGAAAAACCGTCACTGGAGGTCATTTTTCCGGATTTGACTGCCACTCACCTGTTGATTTTCACACCCCATCTGGGGGTGGTTTGCCTCCCACACTAGAGCCTTATGCCTCACCAATTCTCTCTTCATGAAGCTAGTGCTAATAAACCGGGGAAGTCCTCTTCCTTTCCTTGTTTCTCTTATTTATTTATTTCTTTTCTTTTCTTTTCTATATGCTTCCTTACTTAATTGTGCATTGCATGTTTTATTTTCTTAACATTGAGGACAATGAGTTCTAGTTTGGGGGTGGGAAACTTTGTTTAGGTTGTTTTCTTTTAGTAAATTTTTTATAAAAAAAAATCCAAAAATATTTTTGTTAATCTTAGTCGTTCGTTCTTCTTGTTAATTATGAGCAATTCAAAGTATAGTGAAATTTAAATTTTGAATTTGATATTCATAGGTGAGTTTAAAGGTTTGAACATGCTTCCATTATGAAATCTATGGTGAAATTTGCAACCACAGTTATTTACTTTGGATTAGTGGATTAGTCATATGCTTCACCTTGAGACTTTCGCATGCACACCAACATTCTTGCAGGGAGTTAAACAAGTTTTGAGTATGCTCATCCTTTTGTTTTATAAAATATAGGATTAGTTAGCATTTAACTAAAAGGTTACAAAAAAAAAAAAGTATATCATATTGAAAGTGACCAAAGAAGTCACAGCCCTATGCAAATTCAAAGTACAATTCAATGAAGCTAGGGTGAAAATTGAAGTGAGCTAAAAGCTAAAAGTCAGAAATTACATACAAGCCTTTTCAACTCGAGTGAGTTAGTGCTTCAGGATGTCTTCACATTTAGTGCCCTAAAGTCATTTGATTTGGGAGTCATTGACCTAAAGCTCGTTACATGGGTTGATTAGAAAGTTTGTTTCGAAAAAAAAATAAAATTATGTTAGTTGTTTGCTAGGTAGTCCCTTATTTTATAGCATAAGAGGTGCGGCATACTCGAGATTGGTTTAATTTTCTGCATTTGTGTTGGCCTCACACTACACCAAGAAAAGCATGTGAGTTCTTTACTAATCTTTTGTAAATCTCTTTGATTGTATTGAGTTAATTGTTTAACATGTTGGCCGTGGCTTTTAACGAGGTAATACCTAGAGACGAACCGAACAAATACCGACATCTCAAGCCGTTGTACATCTCAGCTCATGTAGAGGGTGTGCCCGTGTCCAAGGTCTTCATTGACTGTGGGGCCACGGTTAACATCCTTCCCTATTCCCTGATGAGGAAACTGGATAAATCAAAGGAGGACCTCATCCCCAGCGACGTGGTCATGAGCAGTTTTGTCAGCGATAAATCTAAAACCATCGGGGTATTGCCGTTAAAAATCAGCGCGGCCGACCAGACAAGGGTCGCGGCCTTCTACGTAGTCGAATCCAGTGTGGACTACAATATATTGCTCGGTCGTGACTGGATCCACCAATCCGGATGCATACCGTCCTCCCTCTTCCAACTGCTTTTCATTTGGGATGGCCAGAGGGTGTCCACACACCCGGCCGATGAAAAACCCTTTGAAACCAACGCTGTGCAAGCACGGATTTACGACGACGACGTTGGATGGGTTGTCCTCACCGGCCACGATGCAAGCGGCCGACCAACCAGGACAATGGCCCAGAAAGTACTGGAGTTAGGCGCCGAGAATGTCCGACAGGATTCGGCGCGTGAAGTATTGATCGACCTCACTAGCCTTAAGATGACAGACAAAGCCACTAAAGAAGAAGGAGCGGCGGCCGTGACCGACCTGTTGGAAAGACTACTGGAACATTGGGCGGGGGAATCCCTACGGCCAAACTCACCGATCAATCTAATCGAGTTCCTCCACGAATCAGATGAGGCAGACGCTTTGACCCTTGACGACTTGGAAATAGTGCCCATCGAGATAGAGGATGACTACCCTAAGGTCCAGGACCCTCTAATAGAAATAAATGTAGGGACCGAGGCCGATTTACGGCCTCTTTTTGTAAGCCAGCTTTTGAACCCTGAGTTGGCGGCCGAGATTATCGGTCTGCTCAATGAATATAAGGATTGTTTTGCTTGGGATTACCATGAGATGCCTGGATTGCCAAGAAGTTTGGTTGAGCATGAATTAAAAATCAAGGAGGGATTTAGGCCTTTCCAACAGTCGCCAAGGCGGTTCTCGACCGAAGTACAACTCAAGGTCAAGGAGGAGATTGAACGGCTCCTTAAATCCGGCTTCATCCGAATGGCCCGGTACGTAGAGTGGTTGGCAAACATCGTGCCAGTTCTGAAGAGGACCAGAGCTTTGAGGGTTTGCACCGACCCCCAAGGACGAGTACCCCATGCCTATGTCAGATCTCTTGGTAGATGGAGTCGCGAAGCATGAGCTCCTGTCTTTCATGGACGGCCATGCTGGTTACAACCAAATTTTCATAGCCGAGGAAGATGTCCACAAGACGGCGTTCAGATGTCCGGGCGCGATCATAACCTACGAATGGGTGGTCATGCCGTTCGGCCTAAATCATGCCGGCGCGACATACCAACGAGCTATGAACCTTATTTTTCATGACCTTATTGGCCGGACTGTTGAAGTTTACATTGACGACGTAGTTGTAAAATCCCCATCCAGAGCTGACCACGTAGGCCATCTCCGGCAGGCTTTCGACCGAATGCGGGCGTACGGCCTAAAGATGAACCCAACGAAATGTGCTTTCGGCGTCACCGCCGGGAATTTTCTCGGTTTCTTGGTTCACCAACGGGGAATCGAGGTGGATAAAAATAAAGCCAAGGCCATTATGGCGGCACCTCCACCAAGGACCAAGAAGGAACTCCAGTCCTTCCTCGGAAAGGTCAACTTCTTAAGGCAATTCATATCCAATTTGGCAGGGAAAATTCGGCCGTTGACTCCTCTGCTCAAACTAAAGGACAAGGAACGGTTTGTATGGGGAGCAGAACATCAAGCGGCCCTCGACAATATCAAGAAATATTTATCTCAACCACCGGTCCTTATGCCGCCGAAAAGAGGGAAACCCTTGTGGCTTTACATTTCGGCTTCAGAGGGCTCTATCGGCTGTCTGCTGGCTCAAAACAGCGAGTCGGAACGAGAGCAAGCAGTGCACTACCTGAGCCGTACCCTTAACATGGCCGAGCTAAACTATTCGCCGATCGAGAAACT